GTTAAATAATCACATTTCTTCCCTTTCTTTTCAAGTATCAATATTGAGTATGTACTATGGGGTAGAGATTAGTTTGTGAGATTTTCTACCCGTTCTCGTAGATTTTGTTAGACCTATATAATGTACTATGTAATAATAATGTATGAAACAGATGCCTTATATATTGAGCGGCCATACTGTGATTGGAGCCGCATGACTGGTTGATGAAAATGTGCATTTGTGTGTTCAATCTTTGATGAGGAATAGGGATGGAAAAATGCATACAATTTTCTCTTTAGCGGACAATGAAAGAAAATAGATACTTCTAGCCATGTCAATAGATCGACACTTGCACGGATCTATTCCAGACCCAATCTACTTGGATGGGGTTTGGACTTTAATTTCTCAAATTCAAATTCTACCCAAATTCAAAACCTGTAAGAGAGTTGGACGTGGATACAAATTGAAACTTTGAAAATAAATAGAAGTAGTTGGTAATATTTTTTTTTTTGGGAGTTTATAACATTGCATTCTACATCTTGAATATTAATTTTATTATTTAAAAATAAAAACTGGATAGTATTTATATTATTTTTCAACTCTATATATTTTTAATATATTTTTACTTTAGTATGTTCAAAAAAATACAATGGATAATCATTGGATATCTAGATGTACGAGAGTCTAGGTTTGGACATACATGTAAGAGTACAAATAACTCACAGTAGTGAGAAATTCGAATAACAGAAGACAAAGTATAGAAAATGATACATTTGCTTATGTTAACCCGCATTAATTTTACAAGGTGTAACTTTTAAAGACTAATTTATCAGAACCATGTTTGTAAGACATATGGATTAAAAGAATAAGTGAACTAAACTCTAAATCCCTTGAAATTTGCTCCATTCGCACTTTACCCCTTTAAACTTATTAAATAGGTAGTTTTCCCTCCTTGATATTTTAGGGCAAAATTGCCCTTTTATGTTAAATTTTTTATAATTTCTTTTACACCCTTTTTTCTTTTTCTACTTATCTCTTTTCTATTTTTTTTAAATTTTTCTCCTTCTCTCGTGTGACCAACTACTTTCTTCTCGTGGCTACTATTATTATATATAGACTAATTTTAATCTTCTTAATCTTATTCTTATGTTTTTTGTGTTATTAGGAGTAATAATAATCGCAAAGTCTATATTATTTCAAAGTACATATTAGTATATTAGCTATGCACATGGAATATTTTGTATTATATTTAAGTTAATACATCTAGAGTTTAGAATTAATTAATTGTTAGTAGTAAAAGTAATAAATAAGGATATCATAATTAAAAAATATTAAGTAATTAAAAATTTTAGCTGGTTAATACCTGTTTAAATAGTTAAATTGCTAGTTATATGCTTTTTTACTATGACACATATACTATTTTCTCATGCTATATAATTTGTCATGAATTTCTTAATATTGTAAATAAATAAATAAACTAAAAGAAAAAAATCATAAGCAAGAAAAACTACAATGTTACAATAAGCATAAAATTAGTACTAGTACTAGAAAAATGAAGGAAATAGTGACACCAAATAAGTGAAAAAGAAAAAAAAAGAACATAGTTAAAAAGGAAAAACAAAAGAATGAATAAACAAGGAGAATGATGAAATAATTTAATCAGGGCACATTTTTTTTAAACATCAAACAAAGAGAGGGGACAAAGTGTGTATTTAATAAGTTTAGGGGATAATCTACAACTAGTGTAAAGTTACGACCACACGTTTTTAACTTGGGTTGCCCATTTGAAGGGTCCAACCGATGACCTAAACCGAAGTCCAAACCACCCTGTCATGTTTGGCTGCGAATGGGTTTTTAAATGACCAGAAAGCAAGTGCCCAACGTAGATCAACACCTTTCCGTCACACAAAAATAAAACACAAATATTTAAGGTTTATTTTAGTTTACTCACGGAAGGATTTCTAAAATAACTAAAAGGAAAAAAATAGAGACCAAAACATTTCCTTCTAGTGCTTAGTAAGTAGCATCTGAATCTTGAAATCACGGTTATGTTGTTAATCCCATCTAATTTCGTTTTGGGTTAGACCAATTCCGCTCATGCGGTAGGGGGAGGAATGAGTTGAGTGATAGTGAGAAATGTGAAATTCAAGATTTCCCACTTAAAATAAAAGACTTGCATGCCCATTTGAATTGCTATTTTTTGAATTTTTGTAGAAAAAATTATACTGTAATGATTTGACGTTTACGAGACAAAAATATATTCATGAAAAACATAAAAAAATTTTGGAGAAAAATTGCTTTCCAAAGAGGTGCAAGCTAACCACCTTCAAAAAAAAAATTTCCCATTTACCCTTAAAAAAATAGTCAAAGCTAATTATTCCAATCCTTGAACTGGGATCCCATCCTATTTCAATTGAATAAATCTACTCTAAGATCTGATGTCAAGGAAGTATTCTCTTTTGATTACGATAAGTAGGTGTGATCAAAACTGAAGCAATAATGACAAAGTAGAAGCTAAAGGCATTTTGTTCAAAGGCAATGAGAATTTTGGTGCAAAAGGTGAAATCCCATGATCACTTTATCTAAAAACTTTAACCAGATTCTCGCATGCAGCACCTTATCCTTGACCTCGAAAGAGAAAGAAAAATAAGGTGGATGTCAGGACGAATTGGGTAGCAGAATATGTCCCAACAAAATATTCCACCAGTTATCCTATGAAATAATGAGAACCAATACTGCAAAAGGAGAAGTCAAGTTCTCCTATGATATACAAAAGATTCCATATTACTTAAAGTGCGTTTGATAAAATTGAAGTTTGAAAACTGAAATTTGAAATCTAAATTCATTAAATTATTGAATTATCAAGTATTGAATCTAACACATTTTGGTATATATCATATTCAGTGATAAGTGAATAACTTATAACTTATTTTTAAAAGCAAATTTTATCTAAAAAATTTATTACCACTTAATTAATTCAAATATTCAATTTTTTATTATCAAACGCGTCTGAACATGTTAAGATCTGAATCTATTAAATTTAACTATTAAATTGAATTATCAAATATGGCCTTAGACAATCTAGTAACTAGAAAAGCACAGTGGTCCATTTGAAATTGTAAGTTTTCTAAAGTTTTTATAATATATATATATATATATCCTTCGATAATATAATATATATAAAATTTAAAAAAATGATTGAAAAATATATCGAACAAATCTTTCTACAAAAGCTTGCAAAATCCACATTCATTTTCGTGAGAACTCACAATTAAAGCTGCAAACGAGTCGAACCGAATCGAGTTTTGACCTAATCGAGTCGAGACTTGACTTAATTTTATTGAACTCGAACTCGACCTAATTATGTTATTTTTAAAAAAATAAATAAAATAATTTTTTTCTTTATAAATAATAATATATTAAGAATATATATGTAATTTTATTATTAAAATAAAAAATATATATAAATATATATATATATATATACATATACTTAAAATAAAAATATAAAAAATATATGTATATACTCGAGTCCGCGAGACTAATGAGATATTTTGAACTCGAGTTCGAGCTTGATTTCGATTCGAGCTGGGCTCGAGCCGCTCGATTCGTTTGAAGCCCGCTCACAATCCAAATAAAGCCTAATGAATGACTCCCTCCTTGAAGTCATAAAGCTGCACCGTGAACGACGGGGAGGGGTGCATGTGCGCATGATGTGATTGATTGATCATTGATCATTCTTCCTTCCACCACCACAAAAATTTTGGAAATCTAGCATTTCTCTATTTATCAATTACGATAGGCGACCAACTGAATATTCTCTGTGTTTTTAACTTGTACTACTACAGTATTAATGCATTTTAAATTTTTTATTTAATTCGCTCGAGATAATTGCCCGAGTGGATGATTAGCATCTTTTCACTTTGCATAAGCATTCCCCGGCAGAGCGTCCTTAGGCATCTAACAATACATACACAAGAAGTCCAAATTTAACCAATCAATAATGATCAATGAAGTACCAAATATGAGCATACAGAGATTAATTTTTCCTGCATACTTGCGGTAATTAATAGTCAGCAATCTAATTGATAACAAAGTCCCAACTTTCTCAATATCCTCAAAAAATTTATCCAGAATGGTAATTGCTGAAGCATCCGTAGTCCTACTGCTCATTTCTTCCCGTACAGTAGCAATTAGCAAAGCCACCAACCCCAGAGAGCTTCACTTCCAACTTTTCAACCCGAGTTCAAAGCAACTTCCGAAAAGAACACCTACTTCACAAAGTCACAACCGACCCCAACAAATGTGTACTTAAAATGGAGAAATTTCTAAGACCAAAAGAATTTGCTAGCTTTACCCGACCAAGCTTTCCACTTTCCGAAAGGGTAATAAATAGATACTAATTGCAACTCTATTGAAGCTGACCGTCACACATTTAACTTCTAAAAATTACCAGATGCTGGCAAGGCTAGAGATGAAAGATGTCTCTTAACTCAAGCCACTGATTTTTACTGCTTATTCCTGAAGGTAAAAATCCCCAGTAAATTAGAACCAGTTCTCTCAACACATTAAGCATTCAAGTCCACCATGGTCCTGCCAACTACAGCCTAAGCTAATGGCCCATATTAAATAAGGTACATCACCCCAACTCATTATTGTCTACGATGGAAAGTCAAGAACCATAACCACTTCCCCAACTCCAAGACGACGATAATGAAATTATCCAATAGGTCCCCAATCAACCAACACATCTATTACTATGATGACTTAAAAACACAGTCGCAAAAACTTCAAAACCTTATCCTCCAAACAATCAACACTACATCCACCAAGTGACCCACCCACTTCATTATGCCCTTCACACATTTGACTCGATATTCATTAATGGATACCATATCGGTAGGTAGGTCAGTCCAATACGCTGAAAAGATGAAGGTACAGCATATAAGAGAATCAGAACCATTTTGGTTGAACAAAACAGGAAAAAGAATCACAGCAAAACGGAATGAGAATCCCAGACATACAGGAGTATGACAGCATTTAGTAAATTGGGAGTCCGAAGATCCAAAGCTTATTAATCCCAAAAAAAAAAATATTACTATAACCATGAAATACAGTAAGAACATATTACCCATTCTGGACTGAGTTTTGATAAATGCAGCCCAGATAACAATTTAGAACTTCTGCTGCAAACAAAATAATGATTAAAATTGAATTAACTTTCATAAAAATTTCTAGCCTCCTCGTACCCTTTGAGAAAACCTTGCCAGCTTTTACCGGTGCCAAATAGCCTTTTCCGCCAACAAAAAATACCTCAAAAAGAATATATACTTCTACGAGTTTAGTTTGTTTAAATGAAAATGAATCTGGGCTCTTTCCCTAGACCACGAGCTGATCAAGTTGCATCTGCTCGAGCCAAGCTCCTAAAACTGAGTGATCAATTGAATCAATTTGAGAACTGGATTTCAAACCCTCACCGGATGGCGCAGCACCAGAAAGCGGTGCTGCAAGCTTGTCTTTCATCTCAGGTGATGATTCCTTGACGAGAGATTGCACCCATGACAGGTCAGGCTCCTCTCCATTGTTGTTAGCCTCAAAGGATGAAGACCTTTTCATCTGACCAATTTCATCTCCATTAACAGACCAATCAACTTTTCCACTGGGAGAACCACCAAATTTGGTCCAGGAATTCACAGGAGAGCCAATAACAGAAACATTTTTAGACCCAAGATCGCGGGAGCTAAGACTGCGCAGTTGTTGATAATGCTTCTCACGCTGAGCCAAGGCAGAAAGGCGTGCGCTCATTGAGAAATGGGCTCCACACTTCTTGGTGACATTCTTCCAGGAGATGAAACGCCAAATGAGGCCTGCAACAAAGGGTGCTCAACATTTTTGGGAGAAAACACATTAGTATTGATTGGTGAAAGCATGCTTTGCTGCTGTTGGAATTGATTGAGAACAGCTGATTTATGAGATGGAGAAAATACTCCACCACCCGCTGCCGGATCAGCATATCGAGGAGAAGAATTCATTTCAGCAGAAAATAGCTCTTCCAGATTTGAAGGAGTTAGTGTCTTTGACCGACCAGAATGATTCAAAGAGAGAGAATTAGGACGTGACTGTGAAAAACAAGCCAGGTCATTTAGTACTAGTTGCTGGGCATCAAAATCCTGCAACATGTTAAATTCCGCAGGTGGGATATCCCGTGCACTCAGGGAAGACCTCAGGCGGCTCGATTGAAGGTTGCTTCCGGGTAGATGAAGGGCTGGAACAATTGGTTGAGTCCATGCCCCAGATGAATGCGACATTCCATTAGCAGTTGGGGACATAGGCTGATTAAATGCAGACGGAGACATCACAGGATGGGATGAAGGTGAACCAGGCAAAAGATTCAGAGCAGCAGCCATGTCCATGACACCAGCTGCTGAAGCTGCTGACCGAGGAGAGGAACAGCAGACCCAGTTGAAACATACAGTGGCCGAAGCTCCTCAGCCGTGTGGGCAAAAAAGCACACTCTTCTTGAACAGCTGGTCCCGTCCTTGCATAGCCGTGTCCGATATTGAGCTGGGTGTAGCCAGCACTCAAATACCCCATGCGCATATTCACACGCATCACCTCGCCTGCAGGCACCCTTGCGAAAATCAGGACAAGGAACACAGCTGTAGTGAAACTTCCTTGGATCTCTTCTGCGAGCATTCTCTCCTGGGTGAACAAATGGGCACTCTGTCCAATCATGAGAATAGGCTCTAAACAAGGCCTAACCTTGAACGAGAACATCCTGAACTCATCAGTTGCATAAATGCTATTCTTAATGTCAGGAAGGATGGATCAATAGGATATTCCTTCTTTTCAGAGACAGAATTTGCTGGAGCACCAATGAACTTTGATGTGATAGGAGAAGATACCAACTCGGAGGGGGAACATGGAGACCCATTTTCAGGCGCGATGAGGAGAGGATTGGCGAGGAACCATTTGAAGTTGTCACTGATATGCTTAAATTGCAGTTGCCAAATGATCCATCAGAAGGGTTGTTCACTAGCAACTCCTCCAGTGCAAGTTTAGCAGTTGCAAGCTTTGGAGGAACAACAATCACATCAACAGGCCTCAGACATTGGCATCCCTCAATGTTGGATCAGCACCAGCCGATAAAAGCACCTTAACCACATCGACAGCATTGACAGCACCACCAGCTGTGGCAACAGTGAAGGGCAGTGCACTTATCTGGCCCACATGCTCGATTCAAATCAACCTCTGCAGAGAAACAATCAACTTCAGGACATCAACGCTCCCATATGCAGCAGCAACCATCAGTGGAGTTCTTTCCTCGCGTACAATCTGCTTTGTCCCCTTCTTACGCACCAACCAAAGTCCAGCCCCATCAATCGCTGAGGGGTCTCGCTCAACCATTTGCTTAAAGCCGTCAACATCGTTGTCAGCAGCAAGTTCAAGCAAACTCGAAAAACAATCTTCAGTTACAACAGATAATTTATTCATATCCTTTGTGTTGTTAGTTTTGATATCAACAGGAGATTGCGCAGCAGCAGATGATGATGATGAATTTGATCTCTCTGGGCCAACGCACATGCTTTGGACAAACTACAAGTCAACCCAACACTAAATTAAATTCAGATCAACCCCAAATTACAAGTCCATATGAATAAATTCACTAAAAGACGAGTCTCAAGGCCTTTAAAAATTTTCAAACCCCGGGGAAAAAAGAACAAACTAAAGGGTTGGCATAAACAAAGAACAAGAAAAATAACCTTGAATTAAAGTCAACTATATGCATCTAACATAAACATTACAACCAAACAAGTTTAGGATTTTAGCAATTCATACAAGTTGAGGGAAATAATCATTCACCAGAGACGGATCTTCAAAAAGATGACATCGTTACCTACAAACTATACCTAAAACTCGCATCATTTCACAGATTAGTCCCTAACCAAGCTATTCATAAAGACGATTTATTCCAACAATGCATTATTTACATAGGAAACAATCGACTTAAAACAGCGGCAGCACGATTCTCTGAAAATAGAAGCAGCAAAAATAAATTAACATTCCGGCAAAACAAAGGGACTAATCAAAGCGTGGTGACATAAAGATAAAATAAAATCATCAAAATACCTGGTAAAGATTCAAGTCAACGACGAACTGAAAACCCGTTGACCCAAACATAGATCTCAAATGAACCAAATCCAGCAGATTTTCAGACAAAATAAAGACACACACACAAACACACACAACAGCACGTGCTTCTCGGGCATCAACTGATACTCAAAGAAATTCACAGAAACAAACAGAAAAACGAGATTCAAAAAACAAAAAGAAAAAAGGAGGAGGAAAAAAAGAACTTACCAGTGATCTAAAAGAAGAAATCGGCAACTTCGTCGCGATCTCTCTTTCTCTCCGTCCCTTCAAATGATTTTCTTCGTTTACAACAAATCAAATGGTAAGCCAAGACAAAACAGGAAATTAATTTACTTCAATCTTGGATGATCAAAGGTAATTGTTGTAGTAGCAGTGGTAGTAGGAAACTAGTTAAGAATAGAAAATGGAAGCAAGAAGCTCCCTTATCTACAAATGTTGTCATCTCCGAACAAGTTCTCAGGTTGGTTTGTCAATGCGAAAAAAATACTAGAAACACTGTATATATATACATACACTGATCTGTATGTATAGAGAGAGAAAGTAGCGAGTGTGAAGGGCAGTGAAAAGAAAGATCCAGAGAAAGCGAAAGGCTTTGGGAGACTTTGACCCGGTTAGGGGATATGAAATTGAAATGGAAAGGAAATGCAGATTGAAATGACAGAGAAATGACGTTGTAATTTACGCGAAATGAAATTTGGTTGAGATTAGAGGAGAAGGGCGGGTGGCGGTGGCGGTGATTGTGGGGAGGCAGATATTTCAAAGTGGAGGTGAGTTTTGGGGTGGGGGGAACCGGTTGGGTAGGTGAAAGTCAAGGGAGGGTGACCGGTTCTTCTTCTTTTTTTTTTTCTCTCTTTCTCTTCTTTCTTTCTCTTTTTTTTTTTTTTTTTTTTATGTTTAGGTCAAGTTAAGCGCAGTGGATTGCAAATAAATTGAGTTTAACTAAAGTGGTTTGGAAATATGTTCGGTTACATTTTGAGATCGAAAAACCCGAATAAATTGAGAAACTTGAGTTTGAAAGTTTGTCGAGTATAATCGAGCTAAAAAGGAAGTTGAAGCAAAAATGAACGTGAGTTTGATTTTAAGACGAATTCAGAATTGAGTTTCATCTTAGATACTTATGCTCAATTTTGACTTTATTTAATAATTCAATTAAATATTTAAATTTAATAAATTAAGATCTGATGTTTAAATGTATTTAATAACAAAAAAAAGAACATTTGAATTAATTAAATAACAATGAACTTTTCAAGCAAAATTTGCTCTAAAAAATTAGAGCTAAATAATTTACTTATTTCTTAATGTGATGTCAGATTTAGTACTTGATAATTCGTTAATTTAATAAATTTAGATTTAAATTTCAGATTTCAAATTTTAATTATCAAATTTCAATTTTATCAAATACACCGTCTCAATTGTAACACTATTCAAGCTTAAAGCAAATTGGAATGAACACTGTACTGGTGGTTAAAAAAAATTTATTAAATGCTCTTCTAATCTAGATTCTATGATAAAAAATTAAAGATGTTTAATCAGATTAAACAATTTCCATTAATGGATAATTTTGTCTTTGTCAGTTTTGCCACATAATTGTAGCCCTCCTCGCAATACGGAAAGGTATTAATCTTGATTTGTTCACATGACAAGGGCGGTCGCGTCTAAAGTGGTTTATCTAAGGACGCGTTAAAGTAACTTCCAAAAAAAATAAAATACGGGATTTTCTTAAAAGTAATGTAAGGTGAAAAGAGGTGGACCATTTAAGTGGATTGGATTTGGAGTTTGAAGTCCGCCAATGGGATGAAGAGAGAGAATAAAAGGCGTGACTTGAGAATTGAGGTTGATTAAATTGTGGGTTAATTGAACATTTAGTCAAATTAGGCGCAGGGGCTATGAGGAATTGTTACACCATCCTCAAAGCTTTGGAAAATATCATTTTGTCACCATTAGTTTTACAATTGAATTTTCTAGGAAAGTAAGCACTCAACATTACTGAAATTGCTATGTGGAGATGCGAAATTGATTATTCTTCCATCTTTGAAAACACTCCACGTAATTGCTACTAGTTAGGAATCATATTAGGGGTGTCAACGAATCGAATCGAGCTCGAATACTAGTTTGATCGAGTTCGAGTTCGACAAAGTGTTTAAGACTCGAAATCGAACTCGAGATCGACGAATATTAGTTTTATATACTCGAATTCGATTCGTAAGAAATTCGTAAGGTTCGAGCTCGTATTCGAAATTGCTCGAATTGCGGTCGAGCTCGAGCTCGAACCATTACAAATTGTGCTCGTTTAAAGCCTGCTGAACCAAACAATCTACTATTCTTAGTAAGCAGAATTTGCTCTTTAGCAGTGACATTTCCTAACAAATTTTGACGGGGTAATGACAAGCTAATGCAAATGCAAAAACAAATAGTATAAATCTCAATTTATGTGCAAAGTTACATCGAGACAAAATGCATATGCATCACAAAGATGGATAGATTTGATACAATCTTGAAAATGGAAGATACAAGCCAGTTTTAAATATCAATTTAAAGCCAAAGCATCAAACTGTCAAAAATTTTGCAGCCGTTATGCCAACCAATATCCAAATTCATAAATACATATTTTAACATCAAAACCAGCATCCAAGTTCAAAGATAAGTCAGACAACCAACATCCACCAAGTCACACAAATAGGAAAAACAAAAACAAAGTGTCAACATTCAAGTGCATGTCTTCAACAGGCAATGTCAATTGTCAAGAAATAACCATACTTAAAAAAGCGAAACAAATTTTGCAATTAAAGCAGTAAAACAGCAGCTTCTTGTCCATTCCACGATAATCCTTTCCAACTTTCCAATTTCAACTGCAGGCCCTATCACAAAAGAAATAATTTAAGTAATAAAATAGTAGTGGTAAAATCTAAAACAAGATATTTGAAGAGGAATCGAAGTGTTAAACACAAACTATGTACCTTTTCAATTATCACATTCATTTTATGGGAAGTAGAATCTCTTTTGCTGCCTTCAATTTCTGCAAAATAATAATAATAAGAAGAATAACAATAAGTAATAAACTAATTTTGTATCAATAACATGAATTTGAAATAAACTTACTTTTATCTTTTTTTTCACTCCATGAAGGTTTCAGCACCAATCTCCAGCACACATAAGCATTTCTACAGTTTCATGAGCTAGTGAGGCTCTATAAGAGTCAATTACTCTTGTTCTAGCGCTAAATGTAGCCTCAGAAGCAACTGTAGTAATAGGAATGGCAAGGATATCGGCTGCCATCTTGGATAAAATAGGGTATGTCAGCCTGCTATTCTTCCACCAATTCAAACAATCAAATTCATGTCGCGGCATACTTGAATCAATCTTGATTGGACCCTTTTCCAAATAAATGAGTAATTCAGATTCTTGAGACGCTCCAGTTTGATATCCCCTCACATACTCATCAAAATCATCCCAACCCAAACCAGAAGCACTGCTTTCAGAAACATTACTTGAAGAAACCTGAGAATCCTTTCTATTTCCACCCTCACGTAATTCATTTGCTTGCAAATATTCATTGTATAATTCAAAGACTGCATTTCTCACCTTTTCAATATTTTGCTGAGCTTCACTAGGTGGAAAAAGTTTAGGAAAATAATATTCTATAACAGTCATTTTCTGTCGAGGATCTAAGACAGCAGCCACAGCCATTAATAGATTACATTCTCCCAATACTTATCAAATTTGAATTTCATCTTTCTCACCATTGCTCTTATGAAATCATCATCATCATTAGACTTACTATCCAAAACTAGTTTTATTCTTTTAACTTCTTGAAGAAACAAATTCGAAATTGGATAGTCGCTACCTGAAATGATGTTCGTAGTTGCCCAAAATGTCTCTAAAATGCTGCATACTTTTTCAACTTTCTCCCAATCTTCTTCGGATGAACAGCAATAATACTATATGTCTCGTTCTCGATACATTGGGAAAATCTCTTTGAATTTGATTGCACAGTTCAACATCTCAAATGTAGAGTTCCACCGTGTCCTACAATCATGAATAAGCTTTCTTCCGGGGAGTCGAAGCTGCTGCACAATTTCTGAAAATAAAATCTGTCGACTTTCTCTTCGGCCCACAAAGTCAACACTTTCATGACTATTTTCTACTATGTCTACAATCTTTCCGAGACCATATTGCACCATTAAATTTAGCACATGAACACAGCATCGAACATGAAAAATTTTGCCACCACAAGTTAAGGGGTTACACCTCGAAAACGTGTCCTTTAGTAACCGGACAGCCATATCATTAGCTGAGGCATTGTCGACCGAAATTGTAAAAATTTTGCTCTCGATGCCCCACTCTGTGACACATTTGAATAGAGCATCCGAAATGTCAATACCTCTTCGAGGTAGAGGAAGATTGATAAAGTTCAAGATCCTCTTTTATAGCTTCCAAGAACAATCAATCCAGTGCCCTATGATCACCATATACTCGATCTTCTGGTTCTTGGATTTCCACAAATCAGTGGTTAAACTTATTTTCTCAACATCCTTCAACTGATTTTTCAATATCTTTTTCTCAGCTTCATAAATCTTCACACAATCAGCTCTACAAGTATTCCGAGTAAATTTTTTCCACTCCGACATCCCTAGTTTCTGCATGTAGTTGAACCCCTCTTCCTCTACAACACTAAATGGATGTTCATGCATCAACACCCATTTAGAAGCTGCCTCCCTCATCATCTCCATCTCAAACTTCCAGAATGTAGTGGAGGAATAGGAAATATAGATGCATCAGCTGGTGGAAAATTGAGCATTGATTGTTGAGAAACTTGTGATAATTGTCTTAAATGAATCTTTCTCTTGACACAACTGTTGCTATGTCTTATCATACTAGAAGTGGTTCCCGTTGCAGTCCGGGCTAATTTGGTTAGGCAGTGAATACATTATACCTTTCTTTTTCCTTTTACTATAACTTCTCGAAAGTCATCCAAACTTTAGACTTTTTTACTCTTTTGCCTTCTTCAGCCTCCTCCGTACCTTGCTGCCCACTTTCTCTATCTCCATCTTCTCTATTTTCAGTTTGTTAGTCATCGTCACCCTCTTGATTTATTGTTTCATTACCTTCCTTACTAATATTGTGTGAGTTTTGAGAATCGGCTTCCATTCTTACCAAATCTTGTTCTGCACTATTTCCATTAGAGGAATCTTTTCCTGACATAATTCGATTGCAATAAGATTCAAGTGGGGCTATGGGCTGACCTGAAAATTATAACAAAGAAATTTTAGATGATTTTCGAATCAAAAGCTGCACTTGAATGAGAAAAAGAGCGAATTCTAACTAGTACAATGAATTCCAGTTTGAATTCAGGTAACATATCCTTCCCCAAAACAAGAAAATTTTGAGATTACAATAGAAAAACTGGTTGTCATTGCATGCATGAAGTGGCAGAGAGCTGCTGAAAAGGTTCTCATTTTAGGTTTGTGATCATGGCCTACAAGGTTGGAATTGGCAGGTAACAAGCTCGACTCTTCGTGCAGAAGAAGTAATATTAGTCCTCATGCATGCCAGACCAAATTTGTCAGCTTTACTTTGCATGGTTTTCTATTGTTC